AATTAATTGAGAAGAAAAAAAAAAGTAGAGAGTATTAGAAAAACCTGAGAATAATATTTCGGTGGCAAACGACACAGATATAGACGAAACCCTCACCTGCTAATGAACTTTCAGTGGGATTTAAGGAAGCTAAAACCCCATTTCAATTATCGAGTATCTTTTTCATCAAGATATCTAAAATCTTCTTTCCAACAAAAAAAAATAAAAAAAATAAAAAAAAAAAAAAAGAAAAGAAAAGAAAAGAAAAGAAAAGAAAGATAACTTAAGTGTAAGTTTGGGCTTATGAAATAGATATTTGGTCCAACTCTATTTAATACAAGCCCAAATTGTTGATGACAAAATAAATAAGGCCTCTTTCAGTCTTTCTCAATCTTTATATGAGCGGAAATGCCAAACTTTGTCCAACACATGGTCCGTTAGACCGTTACAAACAAATATACTCCGTATTACTACTAGATTGACCTATAAGATGTACCGGATTGTTATGTACTTGTGTGCAGTGGCGGATCCAGGATTTGATTAATAGGTGGTCCTATCATCGTCCATCGACCGCATAAAGTATCAAAAATAAGTCAAAGCTTGTATAATGAACAAAAAAAAAATTACATAAAAAAGTTCATTTCATAAAGTAATGCAAATTCGTATTACAACTAAAAAATTATTAATTTTATTACAATTGCTCTCGACGAGTTTTCATATTTTGATAACGATTTACAATATCATCCATGCTAACATTCAAAAACAAATCTCTTTCTAAATAAGTAATCAAACAATCATTCAACATTTGATCTCCCATGCTATTACGCAATTTATCTTTCACTTGCGTCATTCTGGAAAATACTCTTTCTACACTTGCCGTTGCAACAGGAAGAATCAACACTAACTTCAAAAGTAAGTAGACTCGATCATGAGTTTCAAACTTTCCCGTCTCAACAAGTTTCGTAGAAAGTTCACTTAGACTTTTCAAATTCCAAAATCTCTCATCATTTCGAACATCAACAATAAAATTTTCAAGTGAATGTTCAAAAAATAATAACTCAGAGCTTGAAAATTCATCGGGATAAAATTTGGCAAGTTGAACTAACTTTCTTTTGTCAAAAGAATGAAATCGATTTGCAGGATTAAAGCAAGACATACACACAAGTAATTCCTTACTTACCTCGGGAAATCGATTTTCAAGTTCTTGTAATTGAAGATCAATGACACTTAGAAAAACTTCAACTCTAAAATGATGAAGATTAGTCACTTGTGGACCTTTACCTCTATACATTCTTCTCCCAGGAACCACATATCGCCCCTCCATGTTTGGAACCTCAATGCCATATTTAGCCATAAAAGAAGTGACTTTTTCCATATGTGAATCCCATCCTTCATCTCTCAATTTTTGCAAATTAGTCTTGGTTACATCAACCATGACCATTGCATTTACAATATCTTGATCATGTTTTTGCAATGCCACATTCAACGCATTTGTAATTCCAAATATATCAACCATCAAGTGTGCCACAAACACAAAATCAAATGACATCAACAAGTGTGTAATAGATTGTGCTTTATTCGAATCAAGTGTATCAGATACTTCTGCAATGGAATCAAGTGACAAAACTATTGAAGGATATAAATCAAGCACATTCAAAATGGTTTTAAAGTGAGATCCCCAACGAGTATCACAAGGTCTACATAAGCCACGTTCTTGATTCAAACCAGTTCCCGATTCAATTTCACCCAAAGATAATGCTTCTACAACCCCTTGACGTTGTTTTCTCGAAGAAATTCTTTCCTCTTAGGTGAACCTCCCACAAAGTTCAAGAGAGGTGCAAGTACATCAACAAAAAGCCAACCATAATCTGAGTTTTTCTTAGCAAGTGCAACTTGTGTCAATTGAAGTTGATGAGCAAAGCAATGAACAAAGTATGCTTGAGAACATTCATTCAAAATTATAGTTTTAAGGCCATTGATTGAACCTTGCATATTACTTGCCCCATCATAACCTTGACCTCGAACTTGAGAGAAAGTTAAAGAGTGTTCCATGAGTAATGACTCAATAGCAGCTTTGAGAGTCAAAGAACTAGTATCAGGAACATGCACAATACCAAGAAAACGCTCACACACTTCCCCCTTTTTATTAACAAATCTCAAACAAAGTGCCATTTGTTCCTTATCGGAAACATCGGCAGATTCATCAGCAAGAATAGCAAAAAATCCACCATCAAGTTCTTCCAATATTGCTTTAGTTGTGAGATGGGGAAGAATGTTGTTCACTAGCATGATGTAAAGGAGAACTTGGTTCACTTTCTTGAAAGGGTAAATCATTTTGTGGAGGAGGAGTATCATTTTGTAGAGGAGGAGGATTTAGAGTACGCACTTTTTTAGTAAAAAAACTTGAAATATCTCGAGTTGTTTTTCTTTTCATTCTGAAATTGAAGTTAAATGTTGAATTAGATAAATCATACAAGAAGGTAGGGTTCTCTCAAAGTTATTAAAACTAATAATATTATCAAAAGAACGCTCATTAACCTCAATTTCAATCCATCCTTCAACCCCAAATCTCCAAATTAGCAATCACCATTCTCAATAGCTAATAAGCAAGTTGGACAACTATTATCATTTATCAATTAAACAGAAATAATACTATAAAATAATAGGGCTCAAATGGTCAAATATCGGCCACAACTCACATTCACAAATCACAACATTCAACCTCTAATAAAATCATACAGATAATCAAGTGACGATAATCAAGTCATAAGATTCAAGCTCTAATAAAGTCATACAAATAATCAAGCTCTAATAAAATCAAGAAATTTCACCAAAAAAAAAAAAAATCAACTCATACAGTAAATTCGTGAATCGTGATATACATATAATCTGATAATTTTGATAATTAAACATTTAAACTGATGATTTGATATAGAATCTAATCAATTTGCAATGTAATTATGTAAATTAAAAGTTTAAAACTAACCTCAAAACAAAATTGAATTCACGGAGTACGGAATGAAGACCTCACAATCACGCCTGAGCAGAGCCTTGCTGCGGTTGCGGGACGCCGGGACAGACGACTGAAGTTGCTGGCGAAGTCGGCGACGGGGTTGCTGGCCAGTGGTTTTGCTGCGGTTGCGGGCAGTGGACTGAACTAAGTCTCACGCTGCCTCTGTTCTCAGTCTTCTCACGCTACGCCTCAACGCCTGACGGAGTGACGGACTGAAGCTAATAGGACGCCGCGACGGTGAGAAGTTGAGAAGGAGCAAGAAAAACGGCCGGTGAGGCGGTGAACGGCGACGGGGTTGCTGGAGTTTGGGGATTTCGATTTAGGTGAGTTTGGGACTTAGGGTTTTAATTTGGGGGAATTGGGGTTCTGACTTATGTTTTCATTCTAAAGCAAAAAAAAAAAAAATATTGTGAGTAATGGGATTTGAACCCACGTCTCATGAGTGGTAGGATGGGAAAAAAACCACTAGGCTGCAAGCTAAATCCTTAATACATAGTGTTTTTTTTTTATATAAAATAATAGGTGGTCCGCGGACCCACTATGACTACACGTGGGTCCGCCACTGCTTGTGTGTAATATGTGACCTTATTGTTTACCATTACAGTTATTTGTGTCATGGTCTCATGGATAAGTACATCGTATTATGGAGAACAAATGCTAAAAATCTAATTGGAATGTTTCTTTTCTTTCTTCTTTAGGAGTTCCAACCACCATATTGAGGTTAATGGGTTATTGCTTTAAAAAAAAACCACATGCTTAAATACATAACCGTTTAATTTTTAAGGACAATTTAAGTTCTAACATATTAAAGTCGCTCTATTATGAAAAAAGGTTAAATGCACATTTGAAGGTAGATTTTTAAGTAGCAAGTCCCAATGCATGCTTTTAATAAGATAGATCGGGAAATGGCTACATATATCAAGTAGATGTCGGTTCCTCACAAACTGACTTGTTTTTTACCCGGCCAACTCTCCCTTCACTTTACCTATGGTCACCTTGTTAAGAGCTCGGTAGTCTACACACAACCACGAGCTCCCGTCTGATAGAATCTCTAGAGTTTCCTATTCCTTGTATCCAATATTAGTTACGAAATTCAAGTATTCTTTGTTTAGCTTGCGAAATTCGAATATTTTTACATGCCAAAAATTCCATTGTACTTATAAACTACTTCGATTGTTACTCAAACTCCTTTATTTTACCTTAAGTATTCGTGCTGGATCTTAGACTTAGGTAGGACACTTGATTATATGAACCCTTCACTTGGGCCGTCTAAACCATGAAAAAAAAATCACAAATTAATCGAGCTAGACACTTGGACATGCAGCCGTGCCAAACACACAACACCATAGCTTATAAATGCTTTTTAAGAGCGAACTAATTTAAAATCCAACTGTATGTGCTTCATCCCTCAATTTCTCTGTAAACACTTACTTAATTACTGAAATGAATTGCTTGATCAGCAATATCCAACTATTCCAACATAGGGCTCACATCCAGAAGGCTGTGAAGCATATGATTGATTTTCCTGACAGTATGCCACAAACAATGGTTAGTGGAAAAGAAATCTGCCCTAATATCAGAAAGGCCAAAACTTTGATGCATCATCCATGCTGCAGTATGCATGACAGATTAAACAGGAAGCATCAGATAGACCTCAACCATGGCTCTTTTGCTCTCGGTTCACCCAAGCCATCATCCATGTGGTGTTTAACAGATTCCCAGTTCGGCAGACTAAACACTTTAAGGCACACATGCCTAACATAGATAATAATTCATTCCCCACCACCACGCGATTATCTTTTTTGTACCTGTATCTTAATGTCTTCGAGCTCTAGAGAAGCACAGAAAGTTCGGTATACAATCTATTCTATTAATGAAGGTATTGGAAGATTGGTAAACACATTAGTTTCTTCTACTTTCAGCTCTGATATACTTCAACTGTGTCTGCTTATTAGTCCTTAATACAGGTCGAATCGTAGGCTATTCTAACATTTGCTACACTACTGTATGCTGTTGCACAATAATCTTTAGCAAATAAATACTTGTACATAGCATAATTATCCGGAAAGAAATCGTGTGATTAAAATTACAATCAAATCTTGAAGGGAAAAAATTCATACATGCATCATAAGGTTTGGTCTAAACTAAAAAGCAAGTTAGACAATTACAAATCATTCTTTTGAATACAAAACAACTTGAGCAAATATCTTGAGATACTTCTTTTTTTTTTCATCAGTGACTTAATTACTGATATTGTAGACAAAGCATTCTGAAGTTCTTCCTACTAAACTGTCACTAGGCCATCAAACCATTGTTTGGTTCAAAGCCGCAAAGTGATCTAGATCTTGTAAAAGGCAGGTCCTTTCTGTTTAAAGAGCAATATCAAGAAGCATATCTCTTACAGCATATAGATCGTTTGCTCCGGGACAATTGCTCCCAACTTTGGTCACAGAAGGAGACTTGTAGCATGGCTGCCCTTCAACGAGAGGCCAAAACGAAGTCTCAGGAGGTGGAAACGAGCTATTATGGCTTCTCTCTTTATCCACCCTGTGTTCGCCCTCAGTGAGAGAAAAACCAAACAACCTGCAACTGGCTTTACCGGCAGGAACCAACTCCTCACTTGCTTTCGAGAGAGAATTGTATGCAGGAACACCGGCATAATTCATATGTTCCATACTCATCACCCTGGGTTGACACATAGGCGATCTGAAGCTCCTAGCTTGTTGAATGCTTGGATGTGGGAACATTAATACCGAGGATGGTGAAGATACTTGTGCTTTAAGCCATCCGTTTCCACAGTTAGGCACTTGCACACCCTCGTAAATTTCAAGGGGACCACCACCCTCATGCCCCCGGTTGGCTGAAGATGTTAAACCATCTACTTGAGCGGGACTAAGATGGCGTATTTCTTGACCTTGCAAGACCTTTTGGAATCGGAATGATTCCCTGAAGCCTATGCCTTTGGCAGTTCTGCCAAAATCACCTGGAGGAATGGAGCTAGGATAGCATCTTCCTGGATCAGATGAGGAAAGATGAGGGTTGTCATTACCATCACAGGCAGAACGAGAACCCAATTTTTCTTGACCTTGCAAGACCTTCCGGAATCCCATTGATTCTCCGAAGTCTGGCATTCCAACTCCACCTACACAGAATTCAATGGTACATCAGTATTGCAACCACCAAAAACAGAACAAAAAATTATTGGAAGTTGATTTCTGGTTGCTCAAAAGACCTACTTGGAATTGGAAATTCTGGTTTTGCTAATGGCAAACCGATTCTGCTCCTCTTTAGACCAGATGCCATTAAGCTACTGGGACTCGGAAAAGAACCGGTTGGCTCAATCTCCCAAGGAGAAACTCTGCCATGGCGGTTCACCTCTACATCATCCCACCTTACCTGTGACATTATGAGCAAAAAAGATTTACAACCTGAATGAACAGTCCTGGGGTTGAAACAACAGCACACTAATTTGATGATACATGCCATTTTTTTTTACTGTTATTTCACACGATAAACCAGCAATATAATACTAACACAAGTTCAAGATATACTTGGTGTTGTTTTATTGCCTTATTCCCTTGAACTTCAGGCAGCCTTCCTAAAGATGGGAGAGTCCAAATTTAGCCATTTGAGTTAATTATTATTCGTATAATTTAGAATATACATTCTCTTTGAAGGTTAGAAGCAAAATTGATTCCTTTTTACCATTGAAGGAAAACATGATTTGCAAGCTCGATGATCTACCCAAGTGAAGACCTTAAATCTAACAGCTCATCAGAAATGCAGGAAGAAAAAAAAGGGAATGAATGAATTCCTTCAAAATCCGTCATACTCTAAGAAATATGTCATATTGTCATATGGTACAAACTGCAAAGGATGTTATTTACTCTTGTAGACTTGTCCAATCAAAACATAGAACACAAAACTTTCAGTTTGTGGGGGGAAGAACTTTGCAGGGTTTTATTTAATCTCTATATTCCTCGCCAGATATGAATTGCAAAATATAATTTCCAAGTCTATTTCCACTAATATAAGACGTGCATCAAAAATAAAACCACGAAGTAGCATCCTATACATGCATACCATTAAGCATCTCCATTTCGAACCAGACCATCTCATCGGATCCAACTCAGCCATTCCAGTGACCACTCCGGTGTACCTATAGCAAGAGCACACAACTAAGATGAAGCCAAAAAAGCCAGAAAATTACGCTGTTTAGAGTAAGAAGGCATTTCCTAACCTTCTTTCACCAGCATCTTCTGCCTCAAAGCGCATTTTGAACCTCATTCCTACATTGAAAGAAGTATCCAAACTCTTCAAGAACCTCCGGAGTGGTACAACAAACTCAGACGAGCTTGCCCTACAAGAACGAAAGAATGATCAATATTCACATTAACCAAAGGATAACAATTGAGCATGTGATTTCATGTGCTAGTGGACTGTAACTTGCACTTAAAGACAAGGACAAGGTACAATAATTTTATGGACTTTCGCGACTGTCTGCTATGATTAAAGGGTCGGATGGAGGTACTTCGGGCTGTAAAAAAATAGTGTCACATACAGATAAAACCCCTCACAAGTACAAGAATGACTTCTAGTTGATATAACAGATAGTCCAATTAAAAGAACAGGTTGCTAATGTTTCCAAGAGAAAGATCCAAAAATTTGCATATACAGTCACACACAACTGACATAAGGAAAGACCTGCATGCTTAATGAGATGCTATTCACACAGATTTCTAGTCATTTTCTGCCCAAAAATATTAGGTCCAATTGAAGAATATGATATAGAAAAAAGTAGCTATCATGTCTATGGCACATCATGAATAGTAAGACAAATATAAAGCTTACAACTTTATTTGATTATATGATATATATGATCAATCAAACACAACAATTCAAATAATGTATGCCAGTAGCAAGACAAATGCAAAGCTTTCAGCATAAGTAGAAATATTGGACCGATCAATTTATACCTTGATTTATAATAAAAGTTAGAAAGTCATAGAAAAGATGGCATGAACGCGAAAGCATAAAGATAAATTCTCCAAGGGGACGCATCCACATACAAAATTGTAAGGGCAGATTTTACTAGTACAATAATTTTGGCAAGTAAAAATAATACAGGAAAATCCAGTTAATCAAACTTGTCAAACAAAATTTGGTAAACTATGAAGCTCATTTACATAAGAAAAGTGAGTGAAATCAATAACATAGCAGCACACATGATTTCAACTACAAATACCTTGGGTTATAACAGACATTGAAAACACGTCCAGAAGATATTGCATCGAATGCAGCTGACACACTGTTGTTGCTCATTAGTCTAGTGGGGAGAGCAGAAAAGGAGGTTGGTCCTTTCAGCTGAACTGCTCTTCGGATTCCTAACCTCAGCTCTCCATCGGCGCCTCTATCATTCCAAAACACAATATGATTAGAACAAATATTAAAGCGGTCATAAAACCTTCTTGAAGAAAGAAAATTATAAAACCTGAGGAAGAGCACTGCATCTCCAGAGACTAGCTTCTTCTTGTTCACAAAAGCACTCCACCCAGTAGTAAGCAAATGCCTCCTCGGCTGGCCTACTCAAGCATCGTAAAGAACACCACATTAAGTAAATAAGCACGAAAAAATTAGCATTCATTGATTTTATCAAAATAAGGATTTTTTCTTTGTTAGCAATTAAACCCTACTCGGGTATATGTTTCACACACACAAGTATTAGACTTCGCTATATTACAAAACATGTCGTTTTTTTGACTAAAATGACATTGAAAGTGTGCAGACTTATCTACGAATTTCAAGACTCCCATCACAAGCAGTTGAGGTAATACAAAAAACCTGAGTAACAAAGCTTAAAAGAAGCAACAAACCCTTGAAATTTTAATGGCAGGAATATAAACTACTACACTCCCAACTGTCTAAGTCAGACCCATAAACACGGAACAAGCCTAGAAATTTAAAAATATTCAAACTCAAGCCTTGGAACACATCATAATAACAAAATCACAGAAAAGTTAAGAAGCTTAGGATACTTAATCTAAGAGAGTTTTTCTCAAACACAAGGGAGACAGTATGCATACTGGGGAACAATGTCACTAGTTTCTAGCAATCTTTGACCTTAAACAATGATAATTTCAGATAAAGTCTTTAATTATATGAGGACCTAGGACCTAGAAAACTGAACTCAATGCCCCTAACCTCCAATGTACCTCTGTAAATGTGCCTAAACCTCCACTCTAATCCATGCAAATCCTTTGCAACCAGCTCCTGAGATGGCCTCTGCTGCTTGTAATCCTACACCATTTGCACAAAAAATGCCCATTAAGAAAATTCCATAAAGACCGGCATTTTATCAGAAATCGGCAAGCAAAAAACACACAAAACCGCGGTATTCCAGTGAAATTGGAGCTGAAATTACCAGGGGAGGAAAGCAATCCTCCGCAGCACGGCGAGGGACAGAGAATCCACCATGAGTGCTGGTATCCGAAGCAGTAAGAGTCTTGCAGAACATATGAGGTGTTGTGGACTTGACAATGTCCTCAAAATCCTCTTCATCCCCCTCTACATCAGTCTCACTCTCTTTCAATTTCTCCTCAAACTGCTCCAATTACAAGCAGGAAAGTAAAACAATGCACAAAACATTGTCAGAAATTCAGAACATTGTTTAATTAAAGCACAAAACATTAGGAACAATAACAATTAAACAAACATAGTTTGATTAGGAAACTTCAAATGTGAATTAATTACCCTTTTTTAAACTTCATATGAAGATTAAAGTATAGTATTTATGTACATTTTTTACCAAAATAATGAGTGATTATTTTACACATTCTTACCTGGCTGCTCTCTGGGATTAGAGAAACTTGAGCATAAACCTCATCTGTTGCAACTTCCGCCTACCAAAAGTGAGCACACATTTCAAAATTGTTAATTATATTTTCTTCCCCACAAATTGCAAAACCCAATTTCAAAGGAACAAACACAAAAGATTATTAGTCAAACTACTAAAAAAATTCCCAAATTCCCAGAATTAAATAAATAATCCCCAAAAAATTAAATCATTACATACTCAAACCAACATTCACACACATTTAAGTAAACACTTACCCAAAAAAACAAACTTTCTTAAAAAGCCAAAAAGAACCAAACCCATAATCAATTTCTTAACCTAACCCAAACAAATAAAATAAAAATTACATAACTACTTAGAACCAAACAACTAGCAGAAACAGCATATACTCAGAATTAGTACCCAAGTTCGGGATAGAATCGAATCTCGTCTACATCATTGCGCTACTACGCTATGTGGCTATCTATTATATACCCAGAAAAAATTCATTTAAACCCCATGTTACCCAAAATTGAAACATGAAACCCCAAATAAAAATTTACCAGAAAATTACCAAAAAAAGACCATCACACAAAATTTAAAAAGAGGGTATAAAGAAAAAGGGGAACTTACATGAAGCTTGACATCAAGAACACGACAGAACACGTGAGGAGGAATATTGTTTTGGTGGGAATCAAAAGTATGATTATAATTATTATTACTACTAATATTACTATTAGTATTAATAATCCCACTTGAAAAATCAAATTCTGGCAAATTATTTTGCTGATTTTGTTCTTCAAGATGACCTTGAGGCAAGTAAACTACCAAACTACCCTTTTTGGGCAAAGAGATGAGTGGGCCCGCACAAGCATGCCATAGCTCCATACAAACAGATGATGAAGATGAAGCACAAAGATTTTGGAGGGTATTTTGGTAATTGTTGCTGCTACTATTGTTGTTGCTGTTGTTGTTATCCTCTTCATCTTCATTAACAGTGTTCAAGTCGATTAAGACACCCATCATGGCAGAATTCTAGAGAGAGAAAGTGGAGAATTCTAGAGAGAGAAACAAGGGTAAAATGGGAGATTGTGAGGATTTCTACAAGGGGTTTAAACTTAGGTAAGACAGCTACTTAAACTGAAAACCCACAGCATTGCTAAAAGAAGAAGGGAGAAATTAAAGAAGAACACACTTTCTCTCACTAGAAAGATTTGATTTTTATTACTTTCTCTCTCTAGGAGCAGAAGAAAGGGGGGTTTTTTTATTTTTGAGATTTAAGGTGTCAAATCAAAAGGGGTTGATTAATTTTCAATTTTATGAAATGGGTATGTATGATTTAAATTAATGGGATATTTTTTGTGGGTAAAGTTTTTATCTTTTATAAATTTGGACATTATATTGTTTTGATCTGCCAAAGAGTGTTGCTTTGTTTGCAGTGCACAGACTGTTGCTACTGCTGCGCGCTGCTGATGCTGCTGCTCGCTGCTGAGGAGAGAGAAAGACGGGGGGCAGCAGCCTGTGAAGTGTGGCAGAGGAGAGAGAAAGTGAGAGAGAGAGAGAGTGAGTGAGTGAGTGGTGTAATGAGTAAAAATGGGAGAGTGAGTTGTTGGATAAAATTAGGAGAAAAAAAAGGGGGGAAAAATAACAAAAGTAGAAGTGAATAAAATTCGCTTTTTTGCACAACCCCCTATATTTCCGGGCGCCTTTGTCTATTTTATCCTCTCCTTCTGCCTTGCCCCTCTCTTTCACATGTCCCCCCCTCTCTATCTATGGCTATGTGTTTTATGTCCACTTGTTACATTTTCTCTTTCCTTTGCTCTTTTATTTTATATCTCTCATTGTTTTGCAATCATAATCTTCACCTTCATGCTTTTACTAGGTTATTAGTTAGGTTAGATTAGGTTGCATTCAAAAGATATAAGATAGGCACATTGATAATGGCCCTGTTTAATAGTTACTAGTTGTTTGTATTAACTAATTTGACTAGCTGGATATATTAGATGATTTGACTAGCTGATTGTGTAAAATTGTTTGGTAAATATGGAGTAATTATTTATTGTTAACTGTTTCAGTGTATTTAATGCTTAAAAACTCTTATTAAGAGTTTTTTAAAAAGAACTTTTTGGCCCTAAAAAACACTTTTAATAAGCTATTTACCAAATAACAAAATTAGCTTTTTAAAAGGATCATACTTTTAATAGTGTTTAATAAGCTAAAAGTTTTTCAAAAATCTCCTCATCAAACAAGACCAATATCTATTCTATATACGATATTGAAATTTCGTATTGACGAAAAATAGTAACTAGATAGGTCTCAAGAGGGGGTGTTTTTTGGTAATTCCGAAAGTAAGTGTGAACTAATGGAATAGTAAAAAGTTGATAAATTGATTATATGGGTGTTTATAGGTAAGGTGCAATCGTTAATGATGATGATAGAAATAGACATATCTTTTTCACTTTTGTTGTTATATTATACTTTTATATCAAAATGACTTTCTTCTTTTCCTCTTTTTTCTTTAAATGATTTTACTTTGTTCAAAGGTTGAAGCAACGACACTAGCTTAGTGTTGTCAAGTATCTTAAATATCTCACTAATTAGGAGAATGACTATGATCATACCTTAGCGTGGCCTCATAATTCATTTATTTATTGTTTTTTCTTATATTTTACGGATCAGACAATTATAAACAATGGAGAAGGATAAGGGGTCCTCTTCTCCGACCAACTACTACAATTGAGTGGATTCGCCTTGTTGATCTTAACGTTACAAGGTGAATCCCCAACCAATTACAAAAAATAAGGGTTTTTAGTGAATTTGATGGATGTACTTCCTCGTTTCTTTTTAGCTGACATGTTTCTTCAGTCACGTTTGTCAATGCACATATTCAACCGTTAATATCTTTAATTATTTATAAAAAGTTGATATTTTGAAAATATATATCGTGACGAATCTAACAAGACCTCACATGACTATATTTTTTATTACATATAAATCACAAAATACGGTCAAAGAAAAGTGTGTGAATAGTGTTAAAGTCAAAACGTGTCAACTAAAAAAAACGGAGGTAGTAGTATTAGTTATGATACATGCTGAATATGGTAAACGCCATGCATCTACCTCATGTATTCGTGTCTTAAAATTAGAAACTTATTTTTTTCCTATTTGATTTGAATATTTGATGTGAATGTAGTTTTGATATGCTCTAATTATTGTCATGGTTTGACTAAATTTTGATCTTATATGTGTCTTAAACTATTAGGCAAATATATATCAGAGGTTTTTCAGTGCGGCAAGCCACATGGTGCGGCACGGGTAACTTGTATTTTAGGGTTACTTGTATTGTGGGGTTACTTGTAGGGTGTTACTTATATTCTGGGGTTACTTGTATGGGTTACTTGTATTATGAGGTTACTTATACGTGTTACTTGTATCATGGGGTTAGTTGTATTCTGAGTAACTCCTATAAGTAACTCCAGACCAAAATCCCATACCAAACCAGTAATACCCTACAAGTAACCCCTGATCAAAACCAGTAACACCCATACAAGTAACCATAGAATACAAGTAACACCTATAAGTAGCTCCTGACAAAACCAGTAACACCCTACAAGTAATCCCGACCAAAACCAGTAACACCCATACAAGTAACCCCAGAATACAAGTAACACCTACAAGTAACCCCTGACAAAACCAGTAACACCCATACAAGTAACCCCATAATACAAGTAACACATACAAGTAACCCCTGACAAAACCCCTACAAGTAACCCCAGAATACAAGTAACACCTACAAGTAATCCCTGACAAAACCCATACAAGTAACCCCAGAATACAAGTAACACCTACAAGTAACCCCTGACAAAACCAGTAACATCCATACAAGTAACCCCAGAATACAAGTAACACCTACAAGTAATCCCTGACAAAACCAGTAACACCCTACAAGTAACCCTTGCTGCACCATGTGGCCAGCCATATACAAAAATTTGTAAATATATATATATATATATTCAATGAGATCTTATTAGATTTGTATGTATCAGTATTTTTTCGTCACGAAATAAAAGATATTTATTGATAATAAAATAAATTTTACACAAAATACTACTGTACTCTCTTTGTCCCAGATTACATGACACAGTCAACATTGCACACATATCAATGCACTACTTTGACTTTTTTTTTTATATATATAGTTAACTATTAATGAAAATTATATTTAAAATTATATTATAAAACTTTATATTAATGCCTACCTAACAATATATTTTACAATAAAATATTTTTTTATTATGTTAGTAAAAATTATGGTCAAAACTAATGCAAAAATAGTGAAAAAAGTCTAACGTCTCATATATGCAACGGAGGCAGTATATATTACTTCTTCCGTTCCTTTTTTATTGCACCATAAGGGTTTTCACACTTGCTGATGCATTAATTTGGCTATTAATATCTTTAATTATACTTATGTAAAAATTATAAAAAAAAATTGATATTTGAAAAGTAGATTTCGAGACGAATGTAACTAGATCTCACATGACTATTTTTTCCTAATGGATAAATCATAAAAGATGGTCAAAGAATATTAAGTGAATAGTGTAAAAGTCATTATGGTGCAATAAAAGAAAAACGGAAGAAGTATATTTTAAACCTTTTTTTTTTCTTCTGATTAGATCTAAATTACAAAGGAGGTAATTTATTTATGAAACATAAAAAATTCCAAAATTACAACTAAGGGCTTGTTCTCATTGACTGAATTGAACTGAACTGAATAAAGTATAAGAGAAGGAAATTAGGAGCTGAACTGAACTGAGTTGAGCTGAACTGAGCTGAGCTGAGCTGAACTGAACTAAACTAAACTAAACTAAATTTCAACGTAAGAGAATAGGCCGTAATAGGGGAAGTAATAATAAGTGATTATAGCCTTAGGAATAGAAAGACAAAGTCACTTTTGAGGTGGAAAAAGGCATAACCTATGCTTAGTGATAATTGCAAGACCAGTCTTAAAACATTCCTTTTCTGATTTTTCTTCACTCACACCAAATCAAAAATAAATAAATAAAAAAATTATTAAACCTTAATAACCATGTTATCGGGTCCACGAACCAATGAAACAATTATAGCACCTTTGCAATTTTAAATCTTTATTATAATTTTATAGGTTTAGGATCTTCATTTTATAGGTTTATTATAATTTTAATGTATGGAACATATAATTGAATTGTCTCTCTTCACTTACGAGTATACTACCAGTAGTATTTATATTCTTTGCATATAAGTTACGGCGTTTAATTTAATCTACCTTTATGCGTGGGACTGTGGGAGTATGTGTGTACTTAAAAATTCAAGTAGACCTCCCAAATCTAGTATGTACCACATTTACATTAAGAGAGGGTATTTGAACACAAAAAAAGAACATACTTAAGGCCTAACTAACTAATGCAGCCAAGCGGTTCAATCCACTTCCTTAACAGCTTAGCCCTTATTTAGTTCAATTTATTTTATAAATAAGTTCAAATTAAATCAAATAAAAAAAGTTAAGATCAAAAAAAAAAAAAAAAGAGTTCATATCAAATCAAATCTAATAAGACTCCACTTGATATATTATTAAAATACACATTACTACGAATCTAATAAGACTCTACTTCATATATTTTTGTTTCTTTATAGATTATCCTACATATAAAGTCCAGGTTTGGTCAAATCAGACAATTAGACCATATCATATCAAATCAAATTAAATCAGATCAGCGAACTAAACAAGCCCTTAATCTCTACCACTAGTTAGGTCAAGATCTTGTTGATTAATAAGGCCAATTTCACTTTACCTTGTATTTACTGAAAAATTATTTTGCTAAATTAAAATTAGTTTTGATTTGTTATTGTATTTGTTATATGAAGTTACTAATTTTTACAGATTAAAACTTAAACTAATACGAACTATTAAGTATTAACTAAACTTATACTTCAAATACGCATATTATCTTTATAAGGTGAAAAGAATAAAATTAGGCCTAAGTAAC